GTGGTCGCTGTCACCCAGCTTCCCATCGATCACTAGGTCGCCGACTAGGTCATCCCCAGTAGCCAGTACCAGGTCGAGCAGCGCTTTGCCACTCATTGGCACATAGACTTCTTGAGTCAGGTAGAGGTCATCCACGCACGAGTGGAAGCTCTGCGACCGCTCAGATTTTGCTGAGCGATCCTCCCACGAGATGTCTGGGTAATTGAAGTCACCCATGACAACCATGGTCCTGGAGCAAGCTGCCTCAGCCAGTTCCTGGGCAAACTCCTGGTCAAGCTCAGGACTTTGGGTGGGAGGTCTGTAATAGACTCCCACCATTGTGTCCCCTGTGCCGTGTTCCCCACGGATTTTAACCCAGAGGGTCTCCAGCCGTCCACCCTGGTTGCCAATATTGGCTTGCAGGGACGTGTAGCTTTCCTTAACATAGAGAGCTACACCTCCTCCCCTTTTCTCTAGCTGACCTTCTGCTAATTAGATTCTATTCATAGATAATTATAAACATGTATAATTTTCCATATAGAGAGTTTAATTATTGGTGGGGTGGTCATGTTGCATTCCAAATCATCTTGGATTTGGGTAAATATGGTAAGTCCCATGAGGTATGGAAGACTACATAGCTGCAGAAATTATTCTGTACTGTGAGGACGTATGAAGATTCTTCTACTTTGATAGTGTCTCAGTAAAGCTCACTTCTGTTGCAAATAGTTGCCCAAGTGTGTCAGTTTGAGCAGGTATATCCAGCAATGTAGCCATTATGGTTTTGGCAGTGATAGTGATAAGCCAATAGTTTCTATGGGTCACTACTGTTGGTCAAGCAGGGTCAAATTTAAAGGAAAAGTGCAGCAAAGGAACTATTTTGAGTTGCCAGAGCAGGAAATTACAATGTGTGCGCGGTAAGAGTTTCATTTGCATGTATGTATTTTTCACCAAGCTGCTTCACAGATTTTTATATTCGACTGTTTTTTTGCCTTTTTGGCCTCACATAATGGGATGACATTTCGAGGCTTACTAGAAGGCTGTCTATATCTACAGATATAGCTAATTTGCATGCACAAACCCATGTTAAAGAACATTAATATGGTTTCAAAATCAAGCACTCAAAATGCTGATATATATGGTAGATATGTGACTTAATTCAGTCCTGTTGTGTGTATGCAGTATGGTAAATTTTTTTTTAATTATTTCATGATCACATATTTTTTCCATGGGCTCTTGCCTCATTCAGTCACCCTTTATTTAATGAGAACCTAAATCTTAAATTCAGATAGAAGATTAGAAATTATGTTTGGATTAATTCAGATATCTATAAATCTTTATATAAAAATAGCATCCACAAAGACTTATAAAGGATAACTATCTTTAAGAAAGCATAATGGGCTCCTTTGAGATGCTGAACACCCTCAATTGTCTTTGATGTTAGTAAGAACTGCATGGACTTTAGTTTTTCCCACATACTTTAATTGTTATCTTACTAAGATTTATTATTAATACATGTTTATTAGGAGGAATCACCAACTTCTTGGTATCAAAGGAACTTCGGGGAAGGAAGGAGATGGGCTCAGCGTATCTGAAGATACAAAACGGTACACTACAGCAGTAATGGAGTTTCAAAAAGTGAGTTGTACTTTTATTAAGCGCTATATATCTTTACTGTATAGGAACAATGTAAGCACAATAAAACCAACAATAATAAACACAGCAAACTGAAAATGAAAAACTGAAAGAAACAATTTCTAGCCTTTGGGGCACAAATTCTAACTCTTAACATGCCCTTTTCTCCAAAAAAG